CAGGCTGGTCTTGAACTCACTACGTAGCCCAAGCCTGCCTCAAGCAAGGTGATCCTCCTGCCCCAGCCTCCGTAGTCCTGGGATTATAGGCGTGTGCCACCACACCTAGCTTCTTACATTCATTCTTGCACACACCAGATAGAATCTGTAATTTCAACTTCTAATTCATTGACTGAATCTATATAGAGATCACTTCCAATCAAATTTCTATTCTAGCAATATTGTATCTTTTAATTAGTGAAAATGTTGCCCACTTATTTAATCTTAAACATTTTTCAGATAGAGGCCTTTCATATATTTAAACACATTATTCCTATATACTTTATACTGCTTTTGCAAATGGTATGCACATTTAGTTTCTTTTTGAGTGTTGCTAGTATATAAAATACATTTTATTTTTGAACTTTGATTCTGTACCATAGAAAATGGATAACATTAATTTTAGTATTTTTTTATTTTCCAAGTACATATTCATATAATCTTTACTCATTACCTCTCATTTCATTACTTCCAAGTCTTGTTTTTTGGTTCCTTTTTATTCCTGCTTGTTTAGCACATTGAAATCAGTGTTAAATAGGAAGTGGTAGCAACTTGTTGCCTTGAAGATCATCTAAAACTTTGAGGTTATTAAAAAGTATGGTTGTTATAGATTTTCTTACAGAGATAAAAAAAAGTGTCTTAGTTTGATGGACTATATTCAAAGAATTATGAAAAAATACTGGATGTTGAGCTTCATGCCTCTTCTACATTAACTAATATTATCGTTTGGGTTTTCTCCTTTTATTACTAATGGAATGAATTACAGTGATTGATTTTCAAAGGCCAAATTAACCTTGCTTTTATATAATAAACTCAACCAGTTTTCTTGCTTGCTTGTGGATAGGATTTTCAATCTATTAATTGGTATCAATGATCATGTGAAATACTGGCCTGTGGCTTTCTTCCTGGAATGACTGTGCTAGGTTTCATTATCAAACCTGTGCTTTCTTTCAACAATGGATGGCCTACTGTCTTGCTTCTTTCCAATCTCAGGAAGAGTTTGAGCAAAATTAATTATTCCCAAAAATATTTGCCAGATTTTGGTATTAAAGCACTGGTGTTGGATAAATTTGCGCTCTGAACTTGAAGTCTTTAATAATTAGAGGAACGAAATTTTCTATTTCTTGTACCAGAATTTTTCTAGGAATTTTTTCATATATCAGTTATCAAATTTATTCACATAAAATTACATTGAAGGTTCTCTTGCTACCTTTCTGATATGTGTAACATCTCTAAGAATGTGCCATTTATATTGCTGTTATTGTCTAGGCAACTTCATATTCTCTTCATTAGTCTTTTTTTTTTTTGGTACCGGGGATCAAACTCGGGACCTTGCGCTTGCGAGGCAGGTGCTGGAACCACTGAGCTAAATCCCCGGCCCTATTAGTCTTAATAAATACTAATAGTCACCTTCAAAGAACCAAATTTCTGTTGCAACAACCTTGTCATTTTTTTTTTTCCACTGCTTTTTTTGGGGCGGGGTGGGGGGTTACGGGGGATCGAACTCCAGACCTTGCGAGGCAGACGGCAGCACCACTGAGCTAAATCCCCGGCCCTGTTTATTTTTTCTTTAGATTTGATTTGGAGATTTTTTTGTCTTCATAAAATTGATGCTCATTGTTTTCAGCTCTCTTTTACACATTATATACAATCATTTTTTTCTCGAGACAAATTTACCTATACTCCATCAACTATCAAAACCTGTGAAATTTTGCTATGAGTATTTTATTATAATCCAGTTCAAAATATTTTTTCTTTTACATTCCTTTATAGACTTGTATTTAATAATTTCCAAGAAGGTGGATATTTTCTGGTTTTCTCAGTCCTACTGCCTTAGGCAAGCCCTGAGTCCTAATTTTTTTTAACTCTAATCTTTGAAGACATTTTATAAAGTAAAATGAAGTCATTGCTAGAGTCTCAATCTCTTCAGCTTCCTCTGTGTGAGTTGTCATGTGGTTCCTAGGGAAAGGTGATCCCAAACACTAGGTTCCCTTTCTTGTTTATCTTATGCAAAATTTGGTCCTCTTCAGTCCTGCAAATGCTTTCTATGCTCAGTTTTTCCAGGTGCCAACAGTTGGAGGATATTGTGAACTGTCTAGTCCAACATTACCAAAATTGGAAGATGAGATTCTTAACTATTTTAATACTTTATTCCTAACTGCAAATATCAAATGAAATAGCATTTTTTTGATTCTACAAGAATAGTTGAACTAGCAGAGTTGCAAATTATATACCACAGATGAAGAAATTTAACAAGTATTCTTTCATATTGGTGAAAACAACTCTAATCAAGGTTAAAGGGTAAAGAAAACAAACCTCCAATTAGCCTTTTCAAATTTTTTCTCTTCTACTTTTATTATAGGTAAATCTTCCAGTGTTTAGCTACCCTCATGTTCACACTTTATTGTTATTTTTTTCAATTAGTTGTTTTCAGAAAATTCCTATGTGGATTTAAAAAATAAATATTTCCCTTAGCTTTCATCTTTTAAAAGCTGAGCAAAAACTCCTTTTGCTTTGAAGAAGAAAGTCTCTAAAATCCATTATAACTGCCTTTGAAAAACGTGTTCCTGATAGCAGAGGTGAGCCTGTTCTGAGCACATTACATTAGGAAAATAGCTCAGAACACAACCACAGGGCGTGTTTACACTGCATTTAAAATGTACAGATATTGCACAGTGAGAACTAGTGGCTGGGATAAAAATCTGCCTGATATCATAGTTCACTGAGTCCTGTTAAGTCATTCACATATTGACGGACCCAGGAGGAGAAAGTATTATATCTCTGATTTATTTCCACTGTGAATATAAGCTTACTTTCATTTAAAACGTCTATTAATAATTCATAGTGTGTGTTAGTCTGATAGGGCTTCCATAACAAAATACCCACTGGGTGGCTTACCGAAGGAAACTTATTTCCTCACTGATCTGGAGGGTGGAAGCCCACGATCAAGGTGCCACAGATCTAGTTTCTCCTGAGGTCTCTCCAAGGAAGTGGCTCTGTGGCATCCTCCGCCTGTGTCCTTACATGGCCTTTTATCTGTACAGACAATATAAACTAAATAAAATACAGGAAGTAGTATGGTCCCAATTTTGGTCTAAAATTAAATATGTACAAAGAATAAAAGTAAATCCAACAAAATCTTAACAATGGTTAAGTATCAATGATGGAATTATAAGCAGTTTAATTTTTTTCTCTATGCTTCTGCCTTTTTTGTAAAAAAACATTTAGTACTTTTGTAATCAGGAAAAAAATGTACTTTTTTGAAAAGACTCAGCAACTTCTTTTGTTACTAGCTAGGTAATTAGCAAAATGAAGGAAATGTTTTCATGGAAAAGAAATCGAATAATGTATGATAAAATTAAAGGAATTGGGAGTAAAGGATAGTAGGGAGTTATTTTAGGAATACTCCTTTTAGAAAAGATCTTCATGGAGAGGTATCCTCCAGGCAGAAACCAGAATGCATTAAAGGGAAAGTGAACTTGTACATTGAAGAGAAGAAAAATCATGGCCTAATTGCGAATTGCAAGTGTGAAGTCTCTGGGTCAAATATTGTTCTGGCTCCATATAAGAACATTGAGATAAAGGTGAGGAACAAATTCCCACACCTGACCTAAGATACTGCAAGTTGGGCTAGATAACCTTGGTAAGACTTTAGATGTTTTTTCTAAGAATGATGGAAAGCCACTGGGAAGTGTGACCAAAGAAGTATCATATTCATTTTTTGAAGCACCATGGTGATAGATTCAGAGTGGTCTTCTCTAGAACGTAAATAGGAAAATCCTTTAAGCTGCGCAATAGTACAATTCAGATGGTACTGAGCTGGGTGATAATCACTTGTAGTCAAAGCTACCAGAGGCTGAAGCAGGAGGATCTGAAGCATGAGGCCACCCTGGGTAACTTAGTGAGATCCTGTCTCAAAATGAAATTTAGCAAAATGCTGGGAATGTAACTCAGCACTCCCTGGGTGCAGTCTTCAGTAACCCCCCAAGCCCCACACACAAGATGATGTCAGCCTGGATTTGGGTGTCAGTGGTGGAAATGATGACATAAAATAGGTTGGGACACACTATGAAGGTAAAGGTGACAGGACTTGTTATATGTCAGGAAATTTCTAAGTTTTTATCTACTAAGTGAACAGTAATGCTACATTCTGGCATGATATGGGCTAGGTCAGTGGGTAGTTAATTTAGGAGTAGAAAAGTTCTGTTTTAGCTGCAGTGAGTTTGAGATGCCCATGAGATTCCAAGTGGAAAACATGTAGGATTTTAGCTCTAGTGATCAAGAGAGTGAGGCTCAAAATATAAATTTAAGTGTTAGCCACATATGCCATAGGTGATATTCAGTTAGGGAATTGTTGCAATTACACAGGATGAGAATGCGGCCAGAGAATGGGAAAAGCCCAAGAACTCTCCCACATTTACAGAGCAGAAGGAGATGCTGCAACCAGATGTTAAGAGTATCTGATCAATGAAGAGTAGAGAAAGACAAGGGTGAGAATGTTGAAGCCAGCAACATTTTGTATGATTCTAAGATCATTGACAACTCATGTTTCAGTAATATAACTAAATCCTTTTAATATTATTTAATTGACTGGAAATCTTAAAAGGTACATTATAGTTGCATAGCAGTGTTAATATCAGCTAACTAATGAATAATCAAGCTCTTGGAAAAAAGTATGGATCTGTATCTGAAATACGAGGGTAATGAGAGAATGGAACCGTAAAGATGACAAACTGCCTCTTAAACATGTTATTTTGAATATTTATCATGTTTCTTATTGACTAGCCTCACATATTCTCATTAGAGAATTAAATATAAAACAATGAAAACAGAGAAGTCTATACTGATGTTATTACGTAGGAAGGTTTCTCACGACTTCGTTGTTTTGGTATTGCAGGTGTATGGCTTCAGACTCTCCACAAGCGTTTGCTGATGTTCTTTTATTCTGCTTCTTCCAACAGGTGGGGAGGTCCCATACACAACCCTGGCTACCCGGATGATGATGGGGGCTTGGTGGCTGTTTGCTTTGATTGTAATCTCATCCTACACAGCAAATCTTGCTGCTTTCCTCACCATCACTCGCATTGAAAGCTCCATCCAGTAAGTAGACAAAGATCCCAGGAGCCACCAAGCGTGAGAAATGACGGAAGTGTGCAACATTTGAAAACCACTATAAAGTATCTGAAAAAAAATTACAGCCTCTCTTTGAGTAAAGGCTTTTTTTTCTTTGATACTTCAGAGTATTACTGGATAGTCCAACTCCTAGAAATAGAATATTAGTAGAGAACTTTTTATGAAATAAAATTTTGGCTATAATATAAATGTTGCTTCCCACTTTTCTCATAGAAGGATAACACATCTTTAAAATTTTAACTTCCACAAAGAATGATTATGTCTGAGAAACACTGTAAAAAGGAAAAGGGAAAAAGGAGTCATATTTTTTTTAAAGTTTTTATCTGAGTCTGTCTCATTATGAACTGTTGGATTAAGTAGTTGAATCAATGTAGATGATTGAGAGATGGGCAGATCACTGGAGGATTGAAGAGAGAGAAAAGAGAGAAGAAAGGAAAGAGTAGAGAGAGACAGAATATCAACTGACAGATGTAATCTGGTGTTTCAGTAATCATACTCTGTTTGTCTCTTCATAACATTACACTTAACGTAGTCATTATTGCTGATGTTTTCCCAGCTGCAGGTACAATAGTAGGCAGTGGTTATTAGCCATGGGGTGCTTACTTCAGTCCCAACAGCCATCTAAATCAGTGCCTCAGTTCACAAATGCTTACAGCCCAAAGCCTTTGACTGACCATGCCCAGTTTTGCCGCTATGGCCCTGCTGTGAGATTAGCACCTCTGTAGATTTTCTGTCCTACTGAAACACAGTGTTCTGTGTATTGTTATAAAAAAATTTTCCTTGAAAACATTTTATCTAAAAATAAGGTAACTTTAATTTCCCTATGTCTGAAAAATCTCACAATTCAAAATTAGAACAATTAGATGTGTCAAAGAATTTCTTAGAGATTTAACTTTTATGTAAATGCAAACATAACAGTGCTTGCTTTTAAAGTTATGTAAATGAAGTCCATCAGAAGCCACAAAACTATTGTATCATAATACTAAAAAATAAAATTAAGAATTAATTATCTATAAAGAAATAGGGCAGGATTTTTCTTCAATTTTCTTGTTATAAAAATTGAAACTCAAAAATTCAACTAATAATGCTAGCCAGAAGTCAATAATTTTATCCATTTATGAAAATGATATTACCCATTTCTCTTACCAAATCATGTTCTTTAATGTGTTTTTGAAATATTCTTTTCATATAGGACCTTTATATTCTTCCCAATTTATTTCCCTTATAGTAAGTATTGGGGATGGAATGAGTAATAAATGGTACAGAGTAAAGCCCATGAGAAATGTAAATTGATGACCTCATCAGCATCATACTTTATTAGAAATAATGAAAATGATTATCACAGCATTGTCAGAAAAATCAGTGAGCTTAATAAAACCATGAAAATAGTAGTTAACATTAGTTGATCATTTACAGTATGCCAGGCTTTATGTTACATATTTTACATACATTGTACTCATTTTCTGAAAAACATACAATATAATTCATTTCACAAATGACAAAACAGAAGTTGAGATGATAAAGAACTCACTGTAGGTCATACTGCTAATAGGTGGTTGGATAAAGACCAGACCTTAAATCTGTCTGATTCCCAACCTGTATTTTAAATGTACCATACTTGTTCTTGTTTCTTTGTTTGTGAACCTTCTCATGGCCCTTTGTTTCTATTGGCCATTAGAAAGAATATGTGGTAGCTTTATCCACTGCCAAGTGTGTGGAGGGGTGTAAATGATAACATTCTCAAAATCCTCAATTGTTCTGGGGAGATAGTGGTGACTCTTGTATTGGGCCACATCTCTATGCATGCACACCAACAAGAGCTAATTATATTACAATTGACATGTACCACTCAGAATAAGACATTTCAGCATACTCAATACAAATCACCTTAAGATAGTTTTTACAATTGTCAAATAAAGATAGAATATACTTCAGGCATGTGTTGTAATGACTTGAGATACCTACATCTACATTATATAATAATTGCCACAGCCAAGTTGTTGGTACATCCATCACCACCCATGCTATACATGCACTCCCCTGACCCTGTTCATTTTATAATTGAAAATCTGTTCCCTGAGCAACATCTCCCCACTTCTGTCACCTCAGAACCCCCGGCCACCACTGTTTCACTCTCTGCTTGTAAGCATTCATCTTTTTTAGTCTCCATACAAGCGAAGTCATAGAGGACTTGTCTTTCTGTGTCCAGCTCATCTCACTGAGGATAATAGCTTCCACACTCATCCATGTTGCCAAAAATGGCAAAAAAGCTATTAAAAGTTAAAACGGACAATTTTATTTTGTGAACATTCTTATCAATTATACCTTACTTGTCAGATTTTAAATCTATTTACTTCTAAAAATCTATGTAGTTTATATCTGACTTTAAAGAATTTTAAAATAAATGAATGAATAAAATTCGAAATAAAATAACTGGTCTTGTATGATGAACAAAAATGATGGCTAACATTCACTGAGACTTTATAATGAACCAGAAACTAAGCATGTCACATGTGTTATGTCATTTATCCTTCAAAACAACCCTAGTAATACAAGTAGTCCAATTATTACCATTTTGTAGGTGAGCAAACAGAATTTTAGAAGTTCAGTGCTCAAGGTCAAGCAGTCAATATGTGTCAGAACTGGGAGCCGAATCCATGTTAATCCAATGCCAATCCATGGGTTTACTCACTGGGGTCTCTTCACTTGTGTAGTTGTGACTCCTGTGGTCCACATGACCTGATAGTTCTCTGAGGTGGCAGATGTCACTGTGCGTTTGTGTATCTGAGCCATTCGGTTATTAACCTCACCAGCATGAGCTTGATGTCAGCTTTAATGCAATACCAGGGTAGAAAAAGCTGCTCTTGGTTTTTGTATCCCTAAAGTTTCTCTAAAAGTGAAGCCTAAAGAGAAAAGGTTGTAATTTCACATGATGTTTCTCTCAAGCGTAGTTCTACAATCAGAAGTGACTGTGCATTCATTTAAAAAAAAAATCATTCCTTCCCAGAGCCAGCTGGCAATATTAACAGCCATCAGTGGGTATAATAAATCTGCACTTCCTTCTAATATTATCACTGAACTAATTTTGGAAGGGCAGAATCAAAGCCAAAGAAGTTAAAAGAAGTCTGGTTCTCTCCCTGTTTACGAATATCTCCCAATTTCATGCCTCAGTTGTGTCAGTAAGCATAATTGCCTGCAGCATTTCTCGGAAACGATTAAGGTTCCATTTGTAACTAATACCAAGTTCCTTGAAAAATTCTAAGTCTAATTTTTCATAGAAAATACAAAGACTTTTTTCAGAATACCATTCAGTGTTATGCTTGTTAATAATTTATGTTTGTAATATTTACAGCTCACTAAATGAACCAGTATGTGCAAAAGCACTTTTTTCCAGCCCAATTTCCCTATGCCATTAGCAAACATATGCCAAGCATATCTTCATCCCCAAAATTCAGAATTTCTTCTCCAGATCTCAATGGCCAGAGGTGCTTAGAGGGATATCATTGAGAGAGAGGAAAAATAAGGTCCCTTTGAACAGATGATTGACAGAAAACCTAACAGCTTGGTAGAAGAAACCCAATGGATTTATTTGGGGAAAGTAGAATGCTTTCTATAAAATTTTATCCTTTTTCAACTCGCCTTCTATTTACAGCATCTTCTATTTATTTCGGCATCTAACATTCTATTTACTCCTTGCTATTAAAATTTTAAAATGAAGTTTCCCTTTAAGGAAAACTCTCAAGCTAAAGTTTTATAACCATTCAGAGATCGGGGACACTTTAGGATATAATGTGACAGGTTATGACACAGTTGGAATGGGTAGTATTCAGATATAAAATTCAATTACCTTTATCCAGGTAAAAGGAAAACTGCCCTTCCTATAAAACTAATGACAGTGTGGACTTTCTCATTCTCATCGGAAGGTAAACACATGTATCTGGAAAGTGGGACATACACTTTTCTCCCGGCACTCAGGCTGAAGGTAGCAATGGCGAAAGAGCGCATAGGAAGGAACACCATCATTAACTCCATTTGCTTTTAATGTGATCTTCAAAAAGCTACTTATTTCACATAAAAAGGAACATAAGTATGAGAAATCATATGGTTAGATTTATTAATAACTTAAGAATCACATTGGTGATGAAACTTGAATATTTTTATTCCCTGAGGCTGTAACTATGCTTGGGTACACTGAAAGGGATTCCAACATCCCACCATAATTTTGTCTTTAATGAATTTATTCTCCATAATTGTATTGTAAAATAAAATGCTGAGTTGGTTCTGTCACTGAACCGATCTGAGAGAATAATTTTTCTTCAAGACCAACTTTATAAAATAAGAAAGTAGAGTAAAATTTGAAAGACAAACTATTACTAATCCATTGGCTATTCTTGGGCCATTAAGTTTTGTTCATAGTTGAACAAATTTTACTTCAAAACAATAATATATTTCCTAATAAATTGTGAAGACTTAGTACAGAGAAATGTCACGTATTCATTTTCATTTCTCCTGCATAAAAGCCCAGGAGTGATTGCTAGAACATAGGGTATGTTTAGTTTGTTTTTGTTTTGGGGGGTTTTTTGGGGCGGGGATCGGGGCAGGTTACCAGGGATCGAACCCAGGACCTTGCTCTTGTGAGGCAGGCAGTGGCACCACTGTGCTAAATCCCTGGCCCAAGATATGTATGTATTTGTCTCAGTTTCTTTTCTCATTGCTGAGACAAAATATCCAACATCCAAAGTTAAAGGAAGGAAGGTTTATTTAGCTCACAGTTTGTAGAGGTTTCAGTCCATAATCAGCTGGCTCCAAAGCTGAGTGACACATGGCAGAGGGGCAACAATTTATGGTGGCAAGAAGGTAGTAAAGAAACAGGGTCTTACCAGAGTCTTTCTGTCCCTTTCATCTTACCCAGACACCCTTAATCCTAGTGCCCTTGAGCATAGTATTGCAGAGTGAGTCAGTTCCAG